ACCCGCCCCGACAGACCCGCCCAGAGAAAAGAGCCGGTGTTGTCAAAGCAATCAAAATAACGTGAGTGCAATCCGACGCAATCGCAATCATCAAAACATGACATGCAGCTCAAGACATGACAGCTTGCAACATGTGGCAATGCAGTAATCGGGCTCTCAATTGTTTTATCGCCGAATAGTGAAGGCTGTTGAAAAGGTTGCGCGAAATCGGGAGGATGGAGTAGAATGCATGTCCATTGACATGCACCCCCGACCGCATGCTGTGCCAACTGCACCTCATGCAATGAAAACTCCCCGCTCCAAGAGTGACAGTGGCACATCACTTCCAAGGATCCTTCTCGCGCAAACGCTCAGCCTTCTTAAGCTTCGTAGCCGTTTTGGACAGCCGCTTTTCTTTCCATTCAGCGATCTCACCGTAGAGAGCAGAGCCCGTCTGTAGCAAAGGTTTAAGAATGCGACCTTGGTATTCAGCGAACGAAAACCTCATCCGCAGCTCAGGATTGAACTGTTTGAAGTCGCCATTCGTCAACGAGTCCGCCAAAACGTTTTGGAGACGCGGAGTCCACGCGAGCTCCAACATGCAAGATTTCTCCAACAAGACCGCCGTCAACTCCATGAGCACGGCCACTAATGGAAAAGAGGTGGTGAGCCACCTCGCCACGATGTGAGAGTTCCCCTTGTTGTCCGTCCCCGCAGAGCAAACTGTTCGCGATGGACCTGCACCCTTGGGTGTGAACAATATGACCGCTACCATCGTGGCAAGAAGTTCAAGCGAGGCTATGGCCCGGTATGACTCCCCGGCCATGAAGAAAAGAGGAGCGTCCTCGGGCTTGATGCGTTCTGCAAACCAGCGACAACGCCGAGGATCATCGGAGTCGATGCACGACCATCCACCGATGTGCATCTCGGCTCCCTCGGCCCTGGCATCAGTCCTGAAAACCTCGGGGGCGGCCTCCGTCGAATGCTTTGACACCTCAGTAACCCTGAGGCCTTTCAAGAGCAGTGTCTCGATGAACACCAAGATCAAGTCAACGGCCTTAGGAAGCCTAAGTGTATGACACTGAGCAACTGCACTCGTCCACGCATATAGTGGACCAAGGAATGGTCGCAACATCGGAAGAACCGTGAATGCAAATGACAAGCGTCCTAACACAGATTGCATGTCGGCAATTCGCACCATACCATCGGACCTGGTCTTGCGAATCCAACCGATGATCCAGTCGGTCCTCGCCTGGCTGATGCCAATCTTTCTCCCAAATGCAAACACCGAAAAGCCGATCCATCCATGCTCCAGCCC